ACATTCCATAGTCTGGCAGGCATTACCTCGTGACTATCTTGTGACTGTGAACTTCTACACTTCCTGGTTTCTGGAATCTGAACTGACTGGTTTCAGTAACTAATGGCCTATTCCCAAAAGGAGAAATCTTAGGCCTTAATTTTAGGGTGAAAGCATTTTGGTCTTATTTCTAAGATGGCTCATTTTGGTCTCACACTCTGGAGGAATTCCATGATCCCTCCAGGTAGTGACTTTGCCATAACCAGCTGAGTTCTTAGGATATATTCCTGCGGCCCGCAGCAATGGAAGGTCTGGGGGACAGCGGTGAGGGTCGTACAGCACTGAACACACTGCTGCCATGACCCACTTCACATGGGTTATGTTACTCATGGTCTACGTCCCGGGTTCTTGGTCTCTTATCCAAAGAGCTGGGATCCAGGGCCCACACAGACTTGCCAGAGAGGCTGGTAACACTATTTGAAGTAAAGCAACAGTGCAGCTTCTAGAAGAATACGCTATCAAGAATGACAGAAGCCAGCAGGTGGTGACGCACACCTTTAATCCCAGCACTCAGGAGGCAGAGGTGGGCAGATCTCTGTGAGTTCGAGGACAGCCTGGGCTACAGTAAGAGATCCAGGACAACCAGGCTACACAAGGAAACCCTGTTGTCTTAGTCAGGGTTTCTGTTGCTGTGAAGAGACACCATGACCATGGCAACTCTTATAAAGGTAAACATTTAATTGTGGTGGCTCATAGTTCAGGAATTTAACCCATTATTGTCGTGGTGGGGAGCATGGCAGCATGGTGGCATACAGGCAAACAAGGTGCTGGGGGAGGGAGCTGAGAGCTCTTACATCCTGACTCTCAGGCAGCTGGAAGTGATCTGAGATACTGGGTGTGGCTTGAGCATAAAGTGAGTCCTCAAAGCCCACCTCCCTCAATAAGGCTACACTGACTCTAACAAGGCCACACCTCCTAATAGTGCCACTCCTTTTGGGGACCATTTTCTTTCAAACCACTACACCTATCAAAAAAAAAAAAAAAAAAAAAAAAAAAAAAAAAAAGCCACATGAGTGAGAGTACTCAAGGAGCCTGATTATTGTTCCAGGCTGGGGATCAAGAGAAGGAGGACCTGGTTAGCAAGGGGTTAAATGAGGGTGGCTCTCTACCTTGATTGATGATATAATAGGTCATATATTCGCTTTTTCTACTGCACATATCTCTTGCTATAATGCATTTAATTTCGCTCATATGAATGCCCAATTATTCATAGACATAAAATGGTAAAATAGTGTTCTGTATAGTTTTTTGTCAACTTGACACAAGTTAGGGATAGATCTCTGGGAAAAGGAACCTCAATTGAGAACATTCCTTCGTCAGATTGGCCTTATGGGCCAGTCTGTGGGGCATTTTTCTTGATTAATGATTGATGTGGAATGGCCTAGCCCACTGCAGGCAACACCACCCCTGGCCTGGTGGTCCTGGGTTGTTTAAGAAGGCAGAGAGAGCAAATGATGGGGAGCAAGCCAGTAAGTAGCTCTGCTCTGTGGCCTCTGCTTATCTCCAGTTATCGTTTTCTCAGGAAGTAAGTGTCTCCAAGCCCAGGGAATAGTGGGCTAGAAAAGTATGGTAAAGATGGATGCTAGACCTTCTTAGCAAACTGCAGAATTCACAGCACCCA